TTTTAAGGTTCCTCACTGGATTTCTGATCTGCAAGTTATGGCTCACGGTAGGCTTTTTCCTTCTCTGCAGATGTAGATGGGATTTCTCTCCTCTAGCTGGCCGTGAAGTTGTAGGAACATGACTACAACTACGTTTGATATCTTCAGTCAGAGGTTTAAATCATGAGGGGTGGGCTGGGCAGAGAAGGCCACACAGTGATGTGAAGACCTCATGCTTGTTTACAGCCAGAAGAGACCTGGCTGCTGAAGGGCTAGCCTCTATTTTATGATTTTCCAGGGAGAAAGTAGAAGTTAAATCATATGTGACCTGGCTATACCTCTGTACAGAAATGTACTTCTTGTCTCCTCCTTACAAATTCAAGCTGAAGCTCTTCTCTATTCTGCTGTAACGTCACCTGGACAGTGGCTGCAGTCAGTGAAATGCATCCACTTACTGCATTGACGGAAACTTCATGTGGGGGATTAGTTAGTGCTTGATACTCAAACTCTGATTTGACAAGATAAAGTCCTGGCTAATGACAGTTGCACTGTCTGCTATTTATGTTCTTTTCCCTGAAGGTGATCACTGAACTGGGTAATTCAGAGAAGAAGGCAGCAGTAATCTCCAGCCTTGTGGGTGGCCCATTAAAGCCCGAGGAGAGAGATGCTTTTCAGTTTAAGAAGCAGGAACTTCACAGCGACTTCAAGACAGAGTCTGATGCAAATCACTACCCTGTCCTGCTCTGGTGGTCTCCCCTGACTGGAGAGACAGGGAGATTGGGTCAATGTGGAGAGGATGTTTGTTTCTTTACTATCAACAGGACCTACCAGCACCATCAGATGACAAGAGCATTTCTGTTCTATGGTAAGGCGCTGGTTCTTACTTTCCCTCCTGTCCCATCATTTCCCTTATAGATTAAATATTCTAGGTGGGAATCACTGAGGAACAGGAAACTTACACAGTTCAAGTTGTCAGACTTGGTCTGGTGCTAACTACCCTCCACAGTGATCGAGAGATGCATTTTGAATACAGTGGTGCCCGGAAAAGTGACCACGCACAACCGTGGGATGACTCTGGCCGTGTCTCCTGCTGCTTTCCGATCACATGTGCTCCCTGCTCCTGACAGAAAAGATCATTCCCTTTAGCTGCCAAATCCTGAAAGGACAGTCTGAGATCAAGCCAGCTTTTTCCAGCCTTCTGGCTCGTCACCCCTCGCAGAGGTTCTGCGGGGCCCTTGTTATGCTTGTGCAAGTCTTTTGTTTTAAAACGATGCCCCCACTGGTAACTGTGCAACTCCCCGGCCTTCTCTGCCAAGAGATTGCCAGCAGGCTGTAAATGGAACTTACTAAAAGGAAACTATTGATTCTGCACAAGGGATAGCAGCTAGTGCAAATTTCTGAGCTGTGCTGGCTGCACAGCGTAAGAAACTCCCCATGGCTTGTGCTGTAAAGGGAGTCTACAAAACTCACAAGATGCATCTGTTAAAAGTAGGCTTTAACTTTGATTATTTTGTTGTTTCCCAGACAGTGCTTTTCAGAGAAAAACTGAGTTTCAGGCAGAAAAATAAAGACAGAGGCTTTTCTGTGACTGGTAGGTTCAGCTCCTTTGTCTGGAAACAAAACAGAACAAAACAGTCCTGAATCTTCATTCACTATGACTGGATACAAGTGAATTGGAAACACAGGAAAGAAGAGCTTTTAACGTAGCTGTTAGCATAGAACTGAAAACTTCTCGTCACTTGCCTTCTGAGAGCTCCAAGTAGGTCACTGTTGTCTGTTGGTAACACAGTGGTCAAGTGTGAAAGAGAAGGAAGAACCGCAAACGAATGAGAAGCTGACCCAGTTAAAGACAAGGAAAGCTAGGTTCACATCACATGAAAGCTGTAAAGTCTGATATTTTTGGTCTCTGGCAGCAGTTCTGTTTGTCTGTTCCAGCCTTAGCAGAACTATTACTGTACATTTTTAGCAGCCTTGTGGACATGATTTACTTAGTTACTTTTAAGGGACTATTTATATTAGGCAGAAGACTCTCCTAGTAGTTTTTTTCTTTTTCTAGTCATGCTGATTTGAAATTAAATGTACAGAGAAGTGTCAAAATATGCAAAAATGCTAATTATTTTAAAACCACAACAAGTGATCTCACAGCGCTAAAAACTGCAGACATATAGTGATATTAAAGGCAAAAGTGATGCTGCATCAAGACGAAAAAGCTTAACACAGGCACACACACAGAGGCGCACACACACACACACACACACACACACACTCGTTAGCTCAGGAAATGCAGAAAGCAAGACTTGCAACTGTCTTCACCTCCCCCTCTAACATACATACACACCGTGCCCTTGATGTACTTCGCAGTAGGGCTGCAGAAAGGCACAGTTTTGTGTTCCAGATCTCTCTCTGCAGTAATGAGTGAAAATCTGAGCGTCTACATCCTCATGCTGAGGTTGAGGCAGGGCACGGTTTCACCTTCCAAAGAATGTACTTCATTTTCGTGTAATATTTTGTCTATGAGCTAGTCAGGAGATGAAAGGTCCAAAACTTGAAAAGAATATTAACCAAAAAAAAGGGGTACAGAAGTTCTCCAGCAGATCTGCTTTGCTAGCAACACCTGCTTTTCAGCAGCTTGTCTCTGTGTATTGTCCTTGCCTGGAAAGCCCATAGGTGTGGGTGATGACTTTGTCAAGTGCCACCATCTCCCATCTGGAAGTGGTACATGGCATCCACTTTCTAGATTTTTCAGACCCTTTGGGAGGGCTTCCAAACTATACCTTTTCAAGGTCACATACGTCACAGAGTTTTGTCTGTAGCATGAGCTAGGGACTCTTGCTTGTGAGGGCAACTGAGTCATGAAGAACTGGATCTGAGCCACCTGGGGGGAGCTGGGGCCCTGCTGTCAGAGCCTGAGAGATCTTGTTTCTAAGGGGGGGGCGCTATCCAGCCCTTTTGTGTTGGGGAGTTGAGTCCTTGGAGTATGAATCCTGAGTGAAAAAGATGCAGAACTGGTCCTGACAGCATCTGTCGTTCTTTGCTGTACTATCCAAAATTTCTTAATTACTAGTTTGGAAGTTGAAATTGCGCATAATTATAATCCTGTTGTGCTGCTTTATCCCCTCATAAACTTATTAATTTTCTTCATCTTGCAGGGTAGGTACATGCTGTTATTATCTTCCCTTTAATCCTTAAAAGCTTTTGTCTCAGCTCGCTGGGCTGAGATTGATTAAGTGTTACATGAGAATCAGTCATTTTGATGTGCTTTTATCTGTAATGCATTTTTCTCTAAGTTTGTCCTTACCTAATTCTCCTTGGTTGGTAAGTTTACATGATCCACTTTTATCTCCATCTTATCCCTTTCTTTGTCCCACTCTTCTTTTGTGCGTTTTCCTTCCCTGTCTCCACCCCGCTCAATATTGCTTCATGGAGGGAACAGCCATGCAAGAGACCTGAAGAACTGCGGTTTCAGTCCACAGCATTTCATTATCATCTGTGTGTACTGCTGCTTCTCTTCCTGGCAACACTGAGAACAAAGTGTTCTCTAAACCAAATGGGCCGTACCAGCTACTCCTCTGAAAGTTTAAATCGTGTTTAATTTGCCTCGCCTTCTCCCATCACTAGCAGACAGACATCAAAAACAGAGGAAGCAAATAATATTTTTCAGCTAGTGGCACAGTCCTTTGTCCTCTCAGGTGGGCTTGGGACCATGCTTTAGTGGAAAAAATACTTTGGTGTCAAATACTTTGGTGCCTTTAGCACCTTCACCTGATGCTCTTGAAGGATCTTCCTTTATAGGAAGCTTTTATGCTGCTGCCTCCTAGCATCCTTCTTCACTGCAGTAGTGAAGTGCTCTGTTTCTTTTGTAAGGTCACCCTTGGAGTCATCTTGGAGAGCCACAGAGATCATTTGGCATGTTTTTCCTTCTTTATTTATTATTTTTAGATCAAAATGCTGTATGAGAATTTGTCAGCTTCCTCTTTTTTTTCCTTTGGTGGATTGAGGTCAAGGGTAGAAAAGGGCACCAAAGGTTAGGAGCGTGACCAAGATGGTAGAGTGGTTTGTGCAAAGAGAATGAATTTGTGCTGTTTTCTAAAGGTGGTCAAATCAGCTCCTCACTATTTATTTTGGTTTATGAGCCTCCTTTGCTTGACAAAACTGACTAAAAGTTTCGTATTTTCATATATTCAGTGCTAACGCTTAAGTCAAAACCACTTATTACTGAAGTTCTAGGGCACTGAAGAATTGTCTTGACGGAGATTTATTAGCTTTACATTTGATCTGCAGTCAGGCTAGTCAGATGAGTATGGCACAGCGGTCCTGAAGGGAAAGGATCGGATTCACAAGTCAGTATTTTAAGTTTTGAACGGACCAGCCTTTCAGGAAGGTCTTCTAGGTCTGATCTAAAGACTCCACCAAAATCTTTCCTTAGTTGTTCTGGAGGCTAGCTATCCTCCCACTGAGGTGCAAGCAGCTGTAGTGGTCTGTTTTTAGAGTTCAGGCATGGTTCTTCTACTTTTGGCTTTAGATTGGGGAGCCATCTTCTGCCAGAAACTATTTTCTGTATGTTCTCCTGGGCAGCTGTGATGCATCATCTCTTAATTCTCCCTTTGATGAACTAGATAGATTGGCTTCCACAGTCTCCGCAGTACGACGACTTTCCAGGACTTCCTTCTTTTAATTTTTCTCCTTAAGCCTGTTCAATATTTTAGCATCTTTTGTGTTGTTTTGCTACCAGAAGCAAAATCAGCCCTGCACTAACCATTTTGCTAGCATCATGGATAGAGGCAATACCATCTGTTCTGTTATTTACATAACCAGGGATTCTTGAACATCTTCTTAGTCTCCTTTTGAGTGCATTAAAATATGAAATTGCTAGTGAGACTCTGACGTGAGAGGCCTTACAACTAATGTGACCTGAAAGTAAACCATTACTGATGTTAACTGCCATTCCCTCTTCTCCAAATTTTTCTGCTGCCAGCAATTTTATCCATTATACCACTCCTTCATCTACACATGAGTTACTCAGTCTTTGTGTTATGTGTTAATAATGTCATAAATGCAATGACTATGGGGCTGATATTAAATCAAAACTGTCTTTTTGAGAGATAGGGTTGACCAGGTAAGTGCCTGCTTTAAATGATCCACAACAGTTCATGATAACACCAAGTTCAGTAAAATGTAAAATGGGTGCCTGTTGTTTTGGGTCATGCAAAGTCTAAAGCATTATTATCCTGCTGTGGCTTTCAATGCAAGGGCTAAGAAGCCATCAGGATACTTCTCTCTGAAGTGAGTATAACCATATTATATAAGTATTTGATGTAAAGTCAATGGGATAAGAGGCAAAAACTGCTTAAGTATGTAAGAAGGCTGTGTTTTGGCCTAGTGCATTTTGCAGAGCTCTTCAAAGAACTTTCGTGTCGTTATACTTCAGCATGACGTCTGCACTTATGTTCAGGGCAGCCTAAACACTGTTTGTTTTTGTCTAGGGACTGACTTCACTGTAGACAGCCTACCCCTCCCTCGTGAAGGCCATCACGACTGGGCCCTTTTCCACGAAGAGTCACCAAAAAACAACTACAAGCTCTTCCACGAACCGGCCATCACCTTATTCAATCACACTGCAACGTTTAGCCGTCATTCTCACCTACCACTGACCACTCAGTACCTTGAGGGTGTAGAAGTCCTGAAGTCCTTGAGGTACATGATCCCCCTGCAGAAGAAGAACAGCTTGAGGAAGAGGCTTGCACCACTTGTGTATGTGCAGTCTGATTGCAACCCTCCTTCTGACCGGGACAGCTATGTGCGTGAGCTGATGTGCCACATTGAAGTAGACTCTTACGGGGAATGTCTGCATAACAGAGACCTTCCTCAGCATCTCCGAAATCCATCTGCCATGGATGATGGGAACTTCTATAAAATACTGGCACAATACAAGTTCATTCTTGCTTTTGAAAATGCTATTTGTGAAGATTACATCACTGAAAAACTCTGGCGGCCACTGAAACTGGGAGTAGTACCTGTGTACTATGGTTCTCCCAGCATTGTAGACTGGCTTCCTAGTAACAAGAGTGCAATCTTGGTATCTAGGTTTTCACACCCTCGGGAACTGGCCCACTACATCAAGACACTGGATACGAATGACCGAGAATATGAGGCCTACCTTGAATGGAAACTGAAAGGGGACATTTCCAACCCCAGGCTGCTTACAGCAATGAAGGAACGCAAGTGGGGAGTGCAAGATATCACCCAGGACAATTACATTGACACCTTTGAGTGCATGGTGTGTAACAGAGTGTGGGAAAACATCAGGAGGAAAGAAAAGGTATTTGTGACTTTGTCCTTGTGTCTTAGGGAGGTTTTAAAATGACACTAGCTTCAGATTTGCTCCAGGAAGTTTAGTTACGAGAGTTGTGGACAGCCTCCAGCCACTGGTATTGCAGTAGTGTTGGGTTGTGCATCCTCATGCCAAAAGGTTTTGGCAGAAGAGCGTGCGTGGCCAAGGCCTATGTTCCTGGTACAGCTGTGTTACTGGAGCTCTTTCACCCTGACTGTTGAGCTGACGGTCACCTCAGCAGAGGGCTTGAATTGTTCAGGGAGGAGGTGTTTGTCAGGCTGACTTGGTGACTTACTTCAGATGACCACTGAACAGGTTGCCCAGAGAGGCTGTGGGATCTGCATCCTTGGAGACGAATTCAAGACCTGGCTGGACATGGTCCTGAGCAACTAGATCCGACTAGATCTGGTTGGAGCAAGGGGTTGGACTAGATGATCTCTGGAGATCCTGCCCAACGTAAATATTCCTTGACTCTCTGGTTCTGTGTACGCATGGGTGCATGCAAACCTGTGGCAACAAAATGTCATTGCCCGTGGCCACGTTTGTTGACTAAACACTGACGTTTAAGCCAGGCTGAGCATTTGTGAGAAGAATAGACCTGTTTCTCCAGATCTATATGTTCTAGAAGTTATGCTGATAGAGACCACCTGGGACTGGCTCTCTTACAAGGGCGCCCAGCACCAAGGGCCCAGCAGTCTTGCAAAGGTCTCGGCTATGACCCTGGAAGACCATTTTGAAGGCTCCAAGAGCTTCTCAGTCTCCTGAGGCTGCTAGCTGAGGTGGTTTATGCTGGTATGAACATAGCATTGCTTGTGTTCCAACTGAAGCAACAAACTCACTCCACCTGCACTTCTGGTCTGGTGGCCACTCATTTTAATTACCACATTCTTTTAAGTTTTCCAGGCTTAGGTACCAAGAATCAGCAGCCATTTTTTAGAGCTCTCTGTCAGTTCAGTTGTCATTGTGGATCAAAACAATTTTTGTGTGCCCTAATAGAACTGACCAGTGGTTATAGTATCCTACTGCTGTCTTTCACCATTAGGCCGTATTTTTGCACAGGCGATCTGAGCAGTGCTCTAAATGGTCAGCTGCTAGTAGAGAGACCAAGAAAGTATTTGAAGTTATTGAGGTGAGTTGAAGGCATAGGAAATGAAAATCAGTAAGCATTTCATTTAACCGGGCTGTCTTGGCTGATTCAGGTGCAAATCTGGACAGGTGCAAACTCTCTTTGAGTTAAGAGTACAACCACAGAAAGGTGTGAAATAGATTAGATGGAGAGGTTCCTTTTCCACGCTTACGTGGCTCTTCAGTAAAGGAGGCTGTGAAGACCGGAAAGTCTATTGTCCTGGCCAGATTCATCCTTCATAGCTTAGTTTGTTCTCCTTAAAAATATCCAATGAACTGTATGTATATTTACAAGGAAAACAGATTTTCATGATGGGAACGGAATTTAAGGCAAAAGTGCTAGCCTTAGAATTTCAGCTTGGGTTAACTGTTGCTGCTCTTCTGCAGCTGGACCCGAGCTGAGATTCTGGCTCTCAGGCATTCTTGTCAGCAAGAGTGACCTTGCTCCGCTCACCTGAGGGAGACACTTTCCACTGACATCCACAAAGACATGGCTGGAGCCTGCAGTGGGAAGATAAATGTTGCTAAGGTTGCTCGATGGTTTGCTAACATAGCCCCTCTTTGAGGGTTCCTAATAATCCCTTCCTTTCACTTCTCTCCATTGCAGGGATGGCTGCCCCGGAGCTGGAACGCTCAGGTTAATCACCTCAACTGCCCCAAACCCGAAGCCTTCTGGTTCTCATCTTCAAACACGGGCTTGGCTTCACTCCGAGAGATGTGGATACCGAGCTTTGAGCAAGCCAAGAAAGAAGCCTGGGCACTGAGACAGCTGGTGGAAAGGAACACGAATTTTACAGCTCAAGAATTTTGGATGCTTGTGTTCAAAGAATAAACACAAAAACCTATAAAACAGAGTGAACTCCTCAGGGGATTCTATCTAATTTTCTTTTGCAGGTGGCCTTATTATATGTAGGGTTAGTAACCATAGGAAGTAGACCGTTTGTCCTGTAACGCTAAATTTGCTAGGCATAATACTCAAGAGTATTGCTAAGCAACAGAATTGCCCCACTGTGCTATGCTTTTACGTAAATACGTATATACACTTACATTAGTTGTCGTAGTTCAGATGTTTGAGCGTTGAGGCACCAGTTCATCAAAGCCCAGTTTTAAGCACATGTCTAGTCCCCATGAAAGAAAGGTATCTCCTTCCATCCTTAGATACATACCTGTGTTCATGGCCTTGGGACCCCGTGTTCCTCGATCAAAGCTCCTTCATCCTTGCGTTGGTGTCCACCGGCTGGAGAGCAGCTGACACAGTTGCACTGGCGCAGCTTCTGTGCTGCTTTAGAGATAGAGGGAGTATTGGACTGTCCCTTAGTAGCTGTTTCTTATCAATTTCCCCGGCATCAGCAGATTTAGGAGAGATTTGGCGGGCTGTGTGTCCTGACACAGAGTGCCAATGTGAAGTGCATTAGCGCTTGGCACAAGGAAGCACCATCTGTTAGTGTCCAGGGACAGATTGAACGAAAACCATGCTGGCTAAGAATTGCCCGCTGTCTTCTGCTAAAAATAAGGAGAGCACATGAATACGTACCCTCCCCAGAAGCAGGGCTCGCTTCAGTCTGACTTACCTTCTGGCCTTTCTGATGATGAACTAGTATTTGTATCACATGGAATTGCGTGCTTGAAGGAGCAGGGATAAAACTGAGGGTCTGTTGCTGTTGAAAACCCTTCACAGAGCACAAGGAGAGATAGGCAAGCAGCCTACACAGAAATCTCCAAATTACTTTATCTGTCAAAGAAAAAACTTGCTGAGCTTGAGCATCACTTGCCAAAGCCTTGCCACATCTTTGTCTGGTATTCAGACTGCTGGAGTTTTCACCAGAGCTCTTCCAATGTCGGTCCACAGAGGAGTCCACATCTGCAGGAGCTGCAGAATGGCATAGCCTGGGTGGAGCCACTCGGAGACGGGCAGAGTCAGTCGTATGATGAGACTGGTGAAGGCAGCTGCTAACATAAAGTTCTTGCCTTTGGAAAGGCAGCTTTCCACCTCTGTGATAACTTCCATGCCCTTGTTCCTTGTAGCAGGCCATTTTAAGATGGCTGTCCAGCATTTGACTGTTTGATGAAAGCGGGAAGGGTATGAATAGTATTTACCCAGGAAATTCAGTGAAATTTGCTTACCCGGCACTCCAAATAGCTGGTGAATCCTTAATTACTTTTAAATACGCAGGAGACAGAGAAGTTATGTCACCATAAGCCATATAGCGTTGTCCTTTGTTTCTGTGAGCACATACTCAACTTCAAGCAGACAGAACAGCCCCTTGGAAATTGTTGACTTTTAATGTTTTCATGTGTTTTACCAGTATGATATGCAGTATCTCTTAGATGTCTCTTAAATAAACTCTTTACCCATTGTTCTACAATGCAAATGATAGCTAAGCTCTACAAATAAAGAAGTCCTTCAGGAAAGTGGCATTAACTTAGAGGCTTAGAGGCTTTTATAAATCAAGGGCCTGAACCGGACTTCAACCCAGTAGCGTTCTCATAGAGCGCTCCTGTGGCCCAACGTGTGCCGTTGCTTTCCATTTTTTTTCTCCCAGGCTGGCACAGAACATCTGCAGCAAGAGGGGCTAGCTCTTTTTTTGTTGTATTCTGCCGTCTCATTTGCCAAAAATCTCAAGCCAGTGAGTGTAAGGTGATCCGGTCCCGAGGTCTTTACCTCAGGAGCTGCACAGCTGATTTTGTGTGTGTGTGTTTCCTTGGTGCAGTCCGTCAGATCCTGAGCTTTTTGAGCAATCTTGTGGAGAGATACTGCCGGAAGATGAGGGCCATATTTATCTCAAAGAGTTTATGATGCGTTACAATCCTCGTTGACTTCAGTGGAGTAGAAGGGAAAGGAGGACTGAAGTAAAAACTGGTTTACAGCTCAGATTCTGGAATTCAAAGTGGGCGGTAACAGATGTTTCAGAGGAAGTTACATCTCAATCCACCACAATAAGCAGAAGAAAAACACGTCGCCAGAGCAGCGGGCTCAAAGTACACTTGCGTAAAGATAATTCTCACTCGGCATCCCAAGATCCTCTCGTGATGTGTCCTTTTTAAAGGATGAGCATTAAGCTCTTGGAACAACCTAAATGTGGCCTCTTGGTCTTAAGCCACCATCTAGAGCCTTTGTTCCTGTGCTCACTGGAGGGAAGCCTTTGTGAACGTCCCTGAGGGAGACGTTGTGGCAAGGATTTCTGAAGGCTAATCATGTGTAAGACAGACAGTCCCTTCATGAATTTTAAGTTGATAGCTTTTCTCCCCCTAGTGCTCTTAGAAAGAATAAGCAGAAGCAGCTGACTAATCTCTGTTTTGTTAGCTGATCTGGAAACGATCCTGCCGTATGCGGATTTCTAATTCTAGTCAGTAGAGGAATCCAGTTTTTTTGGAAGGCTTATGCGTGTCCTTGATAGCATAGCCCTTTTTTCTGTTTCTTTTTGCCTTAAGAAAGCAACAGCAAAACAGGTAAGAAAACCCATATATTTCCAACCCATGTATTTCCAACAGTTAAAGCTGATCCACGCGTGCTTACCAACCTCTTGCACTGTGGTAACAAGCTATCGTGATTTCTGCCAGTGGGTGCCCTTCCTGCAGTACTCCCCTGGCATCTCCACGTCTAGCCTCCGCCTTTCATTTACTCCTCCAGACTTTGCTGTGGGAGGCTGGGGAGCCTCCCTCTTTCGGAGAGGTCTGCTGGAGGCAAAGAGGAGCGTTGGCATGTGGTGAAGGACCCTAAGAGAGAGAGGCTGAGAGCCATCACAGACATGTCTGCCCTTCCCGAAACAGGAATGATCTCTGGCAAGATAGCAAATCGTCCCTTCAGTTTGGAGAAAAGACCCGTTCTTCCCCTCTCACGCAGTGTCCCTGTCTGTCACAGCTCCTGGCCGAGATAGACGCTGCTGCTGGTGCTGCGGGGCTGGGCAGAGCCAGGCCGAAGTGTCAGAGGAGCCCTGACGACAACATACTGAAGGGTCTCCCTTGCAGAGACCTCCTTTCTGCTGCCTCTAACAAAGCTGAGGTCGAGGGCACGGGCAGCATGCACCCCACCAAGCTTGCAGGCAGCAGTTGTGCAAAGGCTTTTCTTCAGGACACCCTGGCGCAGGTAAGGCCCATGCGCTGGATCGCCTTGCCCTGGGTCAGGGTGCCCTTTGAGACCAGCTCCCCAGGAGTGGCGTTGTGCGAGAGCCCTTGTGCCTCCCATCCTCCGTGGCATCTCGCCATGCAAAGGAAGAAGACACCGGGAGTCAGGGTTGTTTTCCTTGCAAGCCTTCCCTTACGTTTCTCCTCTTCTCTTCTGTCGTGTCAGAGCCCTGAGCCTTTTTCCCTTGCCTGCCTTGGGATGTGGCTGCCTGTGTTTGAGGGCAGCTGTAGCCGGGCATCAAGCTGCTGGGAAAACAGCTCATGTGAGTGCAAGGAGTCCCACTGCCGAGGCTGCAGAGGAGAAGGGGAGAGAGGCAGAGCTGCTCCTCTGCCGATGTTCCCGCGCCTTTCCCACGCTCCCTCGTGCATCACGGCTTCTGGCTCTGCCTACCGGCCGACACAGTAGGCGAGGCACTGGTCACTCAGCCCGAGCCCTTTCCCAGAGCAGGGACAACTTAATAAGGACACTCTGGGCTGTGTGCAGTCAAGTAATCCCAAGGGGCTCTGCCAGCGTGCATGGGCTTCAAATTCCACATTTATTTCCTCTGACCGCTTGATAGCGTTTTCCAGTTTGGTGAATCTTTGTTTGTTGCTTTGTTTGGGCTCAGAAAATCTCCTTAGCACATACACTAGGCAACATACTTGCATTGTTTCATTTCCTTTAGAAGGGCTGGGAGTGGGGGTGTGAATGCAGGTGGGAGCAGATCATATGAGAGTGCTGTGCTAGGCATCCATTAGAAGAACAATGGATCGTTTACCTCAAAAAACGAAAAGCAGGCCCATGACCAAGAAAGTAATTAAACAAATGAAATATAAGGACGACTTTGACTGTGTTCATTTCAATGCAAGACAGGCCTCGATCCTATGCTGTGGGTGCACAACTGTGCATTGTGGGCCTCAGAGGTCAAATCCTAGCTTTCCTCCCTCTTTCCGCATTTTGCAGAGAAACAAAGCCAAACACTTACTTGTGGCGGGCATTAAAGAAAGCCAGAGATCTTGATGGCAGTCATGCACTTCTGCAAAGCACGTGACAATGCTGTTCTGTCAGCCGCGCTGTGTTAGCCTAGCACTAAATACAAAGAGGGTAGCTGTGTGCTTTTGCAGAAAAGCGTGTTAACTGGCGGGTATGCGAGCAATGCACGGCGCAGAGGTTCCACAGAACGACCACAAAATTGCCGTGTACTGCACGGCTCTCTGGCAGCTGTTCAAAAACCAGATGGAGGTCAAAGCTAGGCTCTGTCCATGTAATTAAACGGAAGAGGTGGTCTGGACTACCTGTCAAAGCAAAGGTGCCCTTTCTCCAGCAGTGAGAAGGAGGGAAGGCTAGCCAGTGTGGGGTGGTGTGAACAGTCGCTGCAGTGTCTTGACAGCGCACATTCCTGGTTAATTGTTTTTAAACCATTGCTGTTGAACCCTCACAGGCAGACCCTGCTATCGGTGTGTCTTCTGAACTCAGGGTTAATAAGTGAATTATTAAAAACCTCCAGCCATTTGATAACTTGGCTCTCTGACCGTGGGAAAAGATTGGGAGTAAGGAAAGTTGTTTTGCATGTGATCAGTTGAATGTCTTGAAAGTGGTTTTGTTTAGTGTATGTACATATATACTGCTGGGAAAAATTTACCTGAAGATAGCTAGTGTTGCAGATTAAGATAGAGCTAAGATCACCTGTGTAACTGGTCTTTTTATACAAGAGTTTCTTTGCCTTGAAGTACTATGGGAAGCTGTGGC